CTCCACCCTGTCAAACATGATGTCCCTCTCCAAGGACCAGTCCCTCCTTGCAACATGCCCAAAGTATGTCAGACAAAGCTTCAGAATCCTTGACTCCAAGGAGCATTCTGGCTTCACCGTCTCCAGGACAAACCTGGCAGTCCGTGGTATATTCAACACTTCTCCAGCACCACAGCTCAAAGGCATCAATTCTCTTTCTTTCATCCCTAGTTATTGTCTTGCTTTCTGATGCATAGCACACAAGCGCGAAGACTGTGGCTTGTATCCGGTACACCTTAGTCTCCAGCCTGACATCGTTGCTCTTCAGTACTCTGAAGAATCCCTGATAGTTCACTTTCCCAATGCAATTAGTCTCTTGATGTCCTGGCTGCTGGTACCAAGAGTATTGATTGTGGAGCCAAGCAAACTAAAACTGTTAACAGTTTCAGTCTCTTCACCATTTATTAGGATGCTGCCAATTGACCCAGTGGTGAGTATCTTTGTTTTCTTGATGTTGAGCTTCAATCCATATTGAAGGCTCCAGTCCTTGACTTTCTGCAGCAAGTGCTTCGGGTCCTTCTCAATTTCAGCAAGTAGGGTTGTGTCATCTACATAACGTAGGTTGTTGATGAATCTTCCTCCAATCCTGATGCCATATTTCTCCTCATACAGCTCAGCCTCCCAGATATTCTCTTCTTATTGAATACAGATTGAAAAGGTGTGGAGACAGAATACATCCCTGGCGGACACCCTTCCCTATTTTGAACCATGCAGTGTCTCCTTGCCTTGTTCGGACAACTGCCTCCTGGTTCAATTATAAGTTTCGCGTAAGCACAATCAAATGTTCTGGGATTCCCTTCTTAGAGTCAGCCACAGTAGAGCTGTTCTATAGAAACACACTGCCACATCTTTCTGCCTTAGAATAGATGATGAGTTTAAACTACCACCCTTTGGGTCCTATTGCTTTCGAGGACAAAGTAACTCACCTGGCCTTCCCTCAAGTTTCCAAGACTGTAAATGGAATGGGAGATGATTGCCTGTCTCTCTTTTGGAGCTTATGGTAGATTTGAACTGTCAAAGAAGAGGGTTTTGGATTAGCAGCACAGCGCTCTACAGACTATGCCACCAAGCCTCTCTCCCTTTTGGTTAACTGGTGAGATTTTTTCCAAAACATTTATTTGTTTGTTTTTGGTCTTTGTTTTTTTTTCTTTTATATTCATTTGTAAACATTATATTTCATTCATTTACATTGTGTTTCACACATTCCTTCATTCACATTGTATTTCATACTATCATTCCCATACATTGTGTTTTATCTGAAACATAGATGAGTGAGTCCAGAGATATGAGATGATATGCTTTAATACAAAAATCATTCAGTAAATGTCTGTACTTCTTAGTGAATTTTGTATATTCTCAATTAATATTTGTGAAAGCTGTAGCTATTGCCACTGTGCTGTTGTTTTAAACTTGTTTAATCCTTTGCTGTTATTGGCTGTGATGGTTGCTTTTAAAAAATCATAAAAATGCAAAGAAAATAAACTTATTAGCATCTTTTTTTAAGCAGTTGTAATATTAAAAATTATCAAACTGAGAAATCCTACTGACTGGGGAAAAAAGATTTGCCAATATCATCTCAGACAAAAGTCTCATAACAAAAGTATACAGAATACAATAGGACCTTTATAAGAAAAAGACTGATAACCCAATTACAAAATGGGCAAAAGATATGGAAGGACTTTTTACAGAGGATTACATTTCGATCACAAGCAGACACATGAAGAAATACTCAAAATCAGCGACAATAAGAGAGATGCAAATCAAAACCACAATGAGATACTATCTCACCCTAGTAGCAGTGACTGAGTTTAATAGGACAGCAAGCAATAAATGCTGGAGAGGATGTGGAGAGCTAGGAACTACTATGCACTGTTAGTGGGATTTTAAAATGGTACAACCACTCTGGAAAGCCATTTGGCGTTTCCTCACAGAGCTAAACATAGAAGTTTCGTATAACCCAGCTATTCCACTGCTAGGAATATTCACAAGGAAATTAGAACTGAGACACAAATGGAAAATTGCATACCAATGCTCATAGCAGTGTTATTCACCATCACAAGAACATGGAAACAGCCTAAATGTCCAACTGCAATCTAATGAGTTGAGAAGTTTTAGTATGTTCACATGTACACCACATGACACTAAGGAAGAAGGATTTTGAAAAATAACTACATAACTTGGTAGAGACTAGAGAGCATTATGCTGATTGAACTAACTCAGTCTCACAAGGACAAACACTGCATAGAACCATTATTGTAAAAATGGAAGGATAATTTCTTCCCTCTACCCTTCCCTCAGTCCACTTTTCTGTGCATGTCTTATTCTGGACTGTTGTCATGCAAGTGTCTAAACATATATTCCTTTTAAATCAATGAATTTAAAAAACAACAACCCACAATTATGAACTTGAGTAGAAAACTGAGGAAGATGTACAACAATGAATGAATGAAAATTCAACATTTCTATAAACTTTTCTTAAAATCACAATAAAATAATTTTAAAAGTACATGCCTTTGAGCTGTGGTGCTGGAGAAGAATGTACCATGGTCTGGCAAGAAAACAAACAGATTTAGCCTTGAGAGGGTTAAACCAGGCTGCTTCTTGGAGGCAAGGATTCTGGGGCTTCGTCTGACATACTTTGGACATGTTGTAAGGAGGGACCGGTCCTTGGAGAGGGACATCATGCTTGGGAGGGTGGAGGGACAGCACAGGAGGGGAAGGCCCTCTATGAGTTGGATTGATTCAGTGACTGGGGTAATCGGGATGGGTGTGTCAGAGGCCGTGCAATTGGCTCAGGACAGAGCAGAGTTTAGGGCCATTGTACATAGGGTCGCTGAGAGTTGCAGGCGACTTGACAGCACATAACAACAACAACAGCGTGGGAAGAAATTTATTTTCCATTTAATACTATTACTATACTCTGCATTTATTACTTTAGCTATATTATTTTGTTTTAAATTAATTTTTCCAATTTATTTAAAAAACCTACAGCTATAATTACATGCTTTTCAAATATGTAATGTATAGGAATATGCCTACACACATATATGTGTATACTAATACCTCACTAATAAATATAAGTTTTAGAAAAAAATAGAATAACTAGTAAAAGATTTATACGAATCCTAAAGGGCAAAGGGTGGATGCAGAGGGGTAGTGGGTCAGGGGAAATGATGGGGCCACACAGTTTGGTAGATGAAGGGAAAGTATAAAGGAAATGGGAAAGATCTGTGGGAATCTGAAAAGATGAAGTAATGGTGTGCAAGTTCTGTGGTAATTAATTTTATAAAACAATGCATGGGAATGATTTTATGAAACACATGTGAATGAGGGAAAGGAAAAGATTGATTACGAGATCATATTAAGGCAATGCTCTCTACTGTATTTCATTTAATTAATAAACTGTTTAATAAATCACACTGGTACTATTAAGATATTTTACTATTACATAACATATTGATATTGGATATTACTATCTGACTGAGTCACAGTTCTGGTTCTGGACTTGCATTTGGTGTTTCATTCATGAACTTTAATAATAAATTTTCATTGTAGATATTATTTTCTCCATTTTACAAATGAAAACCTTAAGGCAAGATCCCAAAGCTAATTGGCAGAATCTGGATTCAAATAGAGCTCCATCTGGCTCTAAAATCCATCATTCCTATTATATTGACTAATTAAGCTTAAAATCCAACTCTCAAGAACTGATGTCACGATAGTTTATTAGTTACTGCCAGAGTCACCTAATTTTGTAGTTTTATGAGATTAAAAGCTTTATTTCTGTCAATACTAATCTTTTTCTTTACTTTTGTATATTATTAGGTCGTCTAGCATGGCTGGTATACTTGGTTGGGACAGTTGTAGGTGGAAGATTAACATATACAAGTACAGATGAACATGATGCTATGGATGGAGAGTTAGCTTGTCGGTGAGTAATGGCCATATTCTTTACAGAAAGCAGTTTAAAGTGTTTAATTATTAAAGCAAAACAGTAACTGAATCACTTGAACCTGAATACTTAATATTTGAAAGCCTTCTTAAAAAGTTGTCATTCATACTTAAGTCTGCCTAATTCAGGCCATAGTCTTTTCAGTTACTTGCTATTCATACGAGAGATGGACAATGAATAAGTATGACAGAATTATTGATGTCTTTGAATTGGTGTTGGAGAAGAATACTGATATCCCATGGACTGCCAAAAGTACAAAACTTTTGGGATATCATGGGATATATCTTGGAAAAAGTGCAGCCAGAATGATCCTTAGAAGCAGGGATGGTGATATTTCATCTCATATATACTTTGGACATGTTGCTAGGAAAGGCTGTTCCTTGGAGAGGGACGTCAATTTGAAGGTAGAGAGACTCAGTGAAGGAAGGGAAGACCGTCAGCAGATGAATTGACACAGCAAAGGCAGCACTGGGTTTAAGTGTGTGTCAGACTTGATGAGATGGCACAGAACAGGACAGGGTTCAGGTCAGCTGTTTATTAGGGTCCCCGTGAGACAACAAAGTTCATGATTGATTGTTGATAAGCTTCAACTTGATGTCTTTAGAAATGCAAAGCATGTATCAGTTGGATAAGAAGCAGAAACTTACCACCTAGCTGACTGGTACCAGTCACTTTATTTATAAATTATTCTAGTAATTTATGCATGATTTTATTTAGACCTTTTGCTTGTTGAGAACATATATTGACCTCATCATTTTTTCATCTGATATGAGTTCCTTCAGGTGTATATTCTTTCCATTTAAAAAGTAAAAATTATAAGATTTTGTGTCACTCCTTTTGTAAATGTTTTCATGAAAAATCTATCCTAGGAGAAGGACAGCATGCTTTGTCAGTGAAAAAGATTAAAAATTTCAGTGAGATGGATTGGTACTGTGTTTCAGTAAGAAGCTCAGACACATGGGGGACAGTGCAGAACTGGGAAGGTTTGCTTTTGTGTTTTGGTAGGGGTTTTTTGTACAAAAAATCCTTTATTGCCCAGAAGACTTACAAGTTGGAACAGACTTGAGCCACCTAACAACAACATCAGTAGCTCTGTGTAAACTGTAGAATGCTTAGCTCTGCAGAACTCAGGCTGTATTGTTACTAAAACAACCAAAAGAGACCAAAGCAAAACACCCAAAAACCAACCAGAAAAAAATTCTGACAGTATGTAGAATTTTCTTCTCTGAAACAAAAAGCAGATCGCTCCCTCCTGAAAAATTCAGAGACTAAGAAGAGAAAAGTATCCTAAAAGAAGTAATTAAAACTTGGCACCAGAGACATAAGCAGACTTGAGAAACTCCAAACCAAAGTTTTAAGTCAGATTTCATGGAAAGACTGTGGGGCAGATTTTAAAATTTACTAGAAGTTATAGAAGGTAAAACAAAAAAATCACTGCCGTTGAATCAGAACCTACTCATAGCAGGTTATCAGAGTTTGTAAACCATACGAGAGGTGATCCCCTGTGGGGTAGCTGGCAGATTTGAACTGTGTGTCTTTGAGTTTGCAGCACAGATTTTTGCTACTAGGCCATGAGAGCTCTGATATAGAAAACAAACACTGGAATAAATTTTCATTCATTCATTTTCTGAGAACAGAAAATAAATAGAGTTTCATTCCTTTTAAACCAAGTGTACAATGTATCTCACTTTCTCTCAACATTACCTCTATAGTAAAATGGGAATGGATAGAATTGTTGCTATAGTTAGTTTGGTATTTTAAAAGTTTCATCACTATTCAGGGAAACAACATTCTGACATTGTTTTCCTGACAAAGTATATAAGAGGAAATGAAAATCAGGAGAGTACGTTATTTTCTAAGTAGAAAAATTACATTATTTCCCTCCTCCTTTAAGCAACAAGTATTTAACTTTAGGTAAAATTTGTTTCGGTTTTAGCTTGCATTCTCTACAAAGCAGATCCCAAATGAAATCATACATGTTCATTCTTACTGAAAGCAGGAGAAAGAATGGGCTTATTTTTAGGGAAGAAAAAGTTAATATGAGAGAATAAGAGAAAACAGGTATAAGGTGGTACATTGACAAGCAAACAGATGGTTTCATTTCACACAGGCGTTCCTGATAATGTTACATGGAACCTCTGTGTTTCACAACAGTCTGTGTTAGGGGGACATCTTTTATCTATTGACTGCTTTCTGTGTCCTTTTTCTTACTGGTTAAAGTTAATTTCTCCATGGGATATTTAACTTTTGCACACTTCTGAATTCTTTTTCCTGGATTTATTGAGCAGCTGTTGAGAAAGTCTGAGTTTCCTTTGGCTGTGTATAGATATGGAACTGTGACAGATTATTCTTACCCTGGTATGCGAGTTTGTAAGTGCAGGAGCTCAATGAATTGTTGCTGGCACAAGGCAAATGACTAAATGCAAAACTGAGGAAGAAGAAGTAGTAGGTTGGTGTGTTGGTGGGCATGGCCAAGCCATGAAGTGGAGGCATACATACACTAGTACTTAAATACTTTGTCTGGAAACAGCATACATATATATTTTAAAATATTGAGGTTAAAAGCTAAGAATGGTGTTTTCTATAAATTTCATATAAAATTAGAGTTTAAAAAAACTCCCAAGTTTTTAGACCAGTCATACTGTTGCTGTCTGTGTATTATATTATTATACCTGCTCAACTCCTGTAAGACATATAACCAAATGAGAAGATTGGAAAAGTCCTATAAAAATTTATATAACATTTTTAGCAGTGAAAGATTAACATATATCAAAGCTCCCAATATTGTAATAATTTATAGTTGGAAATTAATAGACACTATTTTAACTTGGGATTGGAATGCCAGAACACATAACTGGGCCCATGAGAAATCTATGCCTAGATCAAGAAGCTGTTTTCTGAACGGAACAAGGGAACAGTACATGGTTTAAAATCAGGGAGGGTGTGTGTCAGAGATGTATCCTTTCTCCATAGCTGTTCAATCTGTATGCCAGGTAAATAATTCATGAAACTAAACTCTGTGAAGAGGAGTGTGGTATCAAGATCAGAGGAAGACTCATCAACAGCTTGCATTATTATTATGCAGATGACACAACCTTGCTTGCTTAAAGTGAGGACATGAAATACTTAATGCACAAGGTCAAGAACTAGCGATTAGATTCTTATTTCATCTCCACATCAAGAAAACAAAGGTCCTCACCATTGGAGAAAAAATAAGCACCATAATAGGTGGAGAAAGGATTGAAGTTAGTGATTTTATCTAGCTTGGATCAACAGTCAACACCCTTGGTACAAGAAGTCAGGATGTCAGGAAATCTATTGCATTGGGCAAGTTCATTGTCAGGGACTTCTCCATAATACTTGAGAGCAATGATGTCAGTTTGAAGATCAAGGTACAGCTGCTTTAGGCCATGGTCTTCTCAGTCGTCTGCTATGCATCAGCTGGACAGTGCATAAGAATGACAGGAGAAACACTGATACCTTTGATCTATGTTTTTGTAAAAGAGAATTGAATATCCCATGAGCTGCCAAAAGAACAAACAAATTATGCCTTGGAGAAAGAGCAGTCAGAGGTGAAAATGACAAAGGATGAAGCTTAATCTCTCATATTATGGACATGTAGCTGGGTGAGGCTACTCCCGAGAAAGGGACATCGTGCTAGGAAAGGTGGAGAGTCAGTGAAGGAGAGGAAGACCCCCCAGTGAGAGAGATTGACTCAGTTACAGCAGCAAGGGCTTAAGTGTGTCAGAGATGATGAGGATGGCACAGCATAGGGCTGGGTGTATGTCTGTTCATAGAATCACTATAACTTGTACCTAACTTGATGACACCTAAGAACATGTTAACTTTACAAATAAATATAGTCATGCCTAGGTCACTCATTTCTAATAAAGATAATGTTTTATAATAATTTTAGTTTTATTCATTGTGATCAGGATGTAAGCATCTAGAGACTGTTCAGTAATTCTGTCTTCAGTCTTACCTCCTCTCAATCCAGCTGCCCTATCTTGCTGTTCTAAGCCATTTATCTTTGTTGTTGTTGTGGTTATGTGCCGTCAAGTGCTTGTGACTCATAGCGACCCTATGTACAACAGCCCTAAACTCTGCTCTCTCCTGTGCCACTCGCACCATCTCTGATACACCCATCCCGATTACCCCAGTCACTGAATCAGTCCACCTCGTAGGGGGCCTTCCCCTTCTGTGCTGTCCCTCTATTCTACCAAGCATGATGTCCCTCTCCAAGGACCGGTCCCTCCTTACAACATGTCCAAAGTATGTTAGACTGAGCTTCAGAATGCTTGCCTCCAAGGAGCTGCCTGGTTTGACCCTTTTCAGGATGAATCTGTTTTCATAGCAGTCCATGGTACTCTCAGTACTCTTCTCCAGCACCACAGCTCAAAGGCATCAATTCTCCTTCTATCCTCCCTAGTCATTGTCCAACTCTCTGATGCATAACAAGTGATTGCAAAGACCATGGCCTGAATCAGATGCAGCTTATTCTCCAGAGAGAACACCATTGCTCTTCAGTACTTTGGAGAGGTCCCTAACAGCAGACTTTCCCATTGTAGTACGTCTTTTAATTTCTGGGCTACTTGTGCCGAGAGTGTTGACTGTGAAGCCAAGCAAGCTAAAGCTGTGAACAGTTCACCATCCATCCTGATGCTGCCAATTGGCCCAGTGGTGAGAATCTTTGTCTTCTTGACATTGAGCCTCAATCCATATTGGAGGCTGCAGTCCTTGACCCTCTGCAGCAAGCATTTCAGGTCCTCCTCAGTTTCAGCAAGCAGGGTTGTGTCATCTGCATATCACAGATTGTTAATAGATCTTCCACCAATCTTGACCCCACATTCCTCCTCATAGAGCCCAGCCTCCTGGATAATCTGTTCTGCATACAGGGTGAAAAGGTATGGAGACAGGACACATCCCTGGCATACGCCCTTCCCAATTTTCTTTAGTCATCCGTAATAATTCTTGAAGAT